AAAAGATATCCGCCAAAAAAGCAAAGCCGCGACATACGAATGACATAACAGACCTACGGCAGTAAGCTCCCCCATTGACCTTGAATGACAGATCACAAAGAGTTTGTCCCTGGCCCTCGAGGCTGACACCTGACCCCAAAACAAACCCTGTCGACCTGTCAGCTCTATCTGAAGAGTTCAGCTGTGTTTCTGTCGACACCAAGAACTCAATACACCCGCTGCTCGCTCTTTGGATCAGTTCATGTGAGCGCTTATGATGTTCGTTTTCTGTCTGGTCAGACCGGTTGTAAGCGCATAGAAAATATTGTAGATATGCATTGATTATAATATGCCTATATAAATGTCATTATTTTTTTAAAATAACATTATACTGGCCATGTTAATAAAGGGATTCGTACATCTTCTTTATTTACATTTTATTTGCAATTATCTGAACTCACTAACATGTTCTTTACCGGCCTTTGTGATGTAAGTAGTTACGCGCTTCGCCGTTGCACGCAAAAAATGTATACACATTAAGTATAGTAATAGTGAGTGGTGTTTGATGTTATCATGTTTATACATTCTTTTAGGACATCCTATATACACATTGTATACGTGTATATGAACGTTCTATGGTCCTCTGTTCTCTAGAACAGTAACATCGAACCATTTGTGCACAAGCATAGATAACAGAATAGAATTTATGCCTTCTTTATCATTACCATCTTCACAGTCATTGTTATTGTCTTCTTTTGTTGATGTTGGCACTGTTATTATTAAAGTTCTCATTTAATAATTGCAAGTGGATTCTGGCATTGTGGTATCCGTTTCGGCGATTTTTACATTTTATTTTTTATATTTAATTTAATTTAAGTTTGTTGTTGTTTTGTTGTTGTTGTTTTTTTGGGGGGCACAGAAAATATATTAAGTAATTATGCCATGTAGAGAATAATATGCTTTATACAGAGGCCTGGCCGGTATTTAATATCCTTCATGTGACCTTGTGAGTGTGCGTGTGTGTGTGTGTGTGTGTGTGTGTGTGTGTGTGTTTGTTTGTCTGTGTGTGTATGTGTGTGCACG